ATATTTTTTGTTTCTATGTCGTTCTGATTGTTCTATATCGTTATAGCAATGTCTTGAAGTCTTCCTGCTGAGAAGAGAAGAAGTAAACTATAGATATGTTAGTTCCAGTTTCAGAGTTTATCGTTCATTCTGTATCATTACATAGCTAATGTTTAACCTCTTTTGATTCGTATTGCTTGTTTTGCGGGTTCTTTTTGTTTATTTCTTAATTTTTTTGTTTCTATCTTTCTATTCAAAGGCCTTCTTAATGGTTGTGCAATCACCTTTGTTATTTGTGATTGTGACCACAAAATAAACTATAATATGCTGGAAGATTTTAGTGGATCTTAGAAAGCGCTAAATGGCATGCTTGTTTATTAGACTTTCTTATATTACAGAAATTGACCGATGTGCCATGCTCTGCTTGTGGCGTTCTGGATGAAAAACAAAAACTGCAGTGCTCAGTTTGTCATACTGTTCTACATTCTGAATGCGCGAACATTCCAGAACGTGTAGTTTCTGTGGCATTAACATATAGGTGGTGTTGCCTTGATTGCAAAGTCTGTACAGTTTGTGAAAAGCCAGATAATGAGGTAAGTTTTTAGCACTTAAATAGTTCCTAAAATTTGAGTAGGTCGTTTGATTCGTTTGTGCAAGAGTTCTTTGCAGTTCAAAGTTACTAGAGGATAAATTCCTCTACAATTGTGCGCATTTGTACTTCACCATTCGTTAGTTGTTTTGTGAGAATATAAGGTTTTCTTGAACTGGATCATGATTTACCTACATTTAGGATGCGATGCTGTTTTGCGACCGCTGTGACAGGGGGTATCATACCTACTGTGTTGGTTTGAAAGCTCCTCCATCTGGTTCTTGGATTTGTAATAATTACTGTGCTTTTGATGACCAAATTAGGTGTAAGCGTTGTAATGTTAATCTGAGCAGGGACAACGTAAATGGTAAGAAGTTGTCAAGACGTTCGACTTTGGATAAATATTGTGATGAATGTTTTGCAATAATTTCTTAGCGCTATAAAATTTTATTTCAGTTTTCTTTTTGTTGTCATAGAAAAGTGAGTAAAATAACTGTTCATTGCTGACTTAGAATTGTTTAGCTATTCACTTCTTGTAAACAGCACTATTTGTTTTGTAAACTTACTCAAGTTGTAAATGTTGAATTTTTGACTCGTAATGCCACTATTTTGTTGTGTTTTTTGATGACGGATGGATAGGTTACTGTCATTTTGCAGGTCTCACTAAATTTAAGCATAATAAGGAACATAATTGTGGATATTTCTTTGGTGTTTATATATTATTTTTTTGAATCTTTGTGTTTCTTTTGAGAAGTTTGATGTAATTTGTAGTTAAGTAGGCATGGGCCTTACAACTTCTGTGTAATTTGTTAGTTGTGTATTGTCTATGTTTGTTTGCTGTTATTTCTCTGAAATCCCGGAAGAAAAGTGTATACTGTTGACTCTGCTATTTGTTGCAGGTAAATTGTATTACATTTACTGTAGTAGCAGAACTTTTTAACTTGTTTTGAATTTTTATTGCTATAATAGTTTTCAAGCGTGCGTAATGTTTTGGATTATTTATCCATAATATTTATAACTGATGTGTAGAATAAGAACTAGTTTTTTTTTTTTTTTTTTTGACTTTATTGTGTTGTGTTTAGATTTGAAATCTTTCACTTTTTTGAGATTAATTTCAATGTCAAAGTCAACTGGTGAATGTTAATATTTGTCATAAATAATAAGTTTTGCTGTTAATTTGTATTACTGGTTTGTGAACAGCTTTATTTTTTTTTTCTTGTTTTTTTATGGAGCTATACTGGTCTCAGGATAATTACGAGAAAGGCAAGGCTTTTCTAGCAGAAAAATAAAAATAATTTTTAAATATGATATCTAAAATATTTGTTGTTATCAAACCTGTTACTTTTTGAGCGCTGTTTTCCCCTGTCGGATTCTGTTTCGGTCTGAAGAGGGTTTACGTTTATTTATTATTATTATTATTATTATTTTTTTGCATGGAGTCTTTCAGTAAGTAAATTGTTGCTCTTCGGATTTCTTTTAGTTGGATTGATTTGAGGTCTGATAGTGGGGTCGTTTTATTTATGTTTAGAAAATTTTTAGGTGTGTTGGGAGGGCCAGTTTCTTTGCTGGATTCAAGTGTGAAGAAAGGAAGCAAGACTCAGAAGATTCAGGCGGCGATTAGAGGCGGTTGCCACAAGCGTATAGAGTGCTTCATATGGTCAACATTGGGGGTGTTTTGTTCGTAGGTTTGTTTGGGGTTAAGTATATTTTTCGAAGATCTGTAAGTTGCGTCAGCAATTTATTGTAGTGGGAAGAAGTAGACAATTTTTTTGATTAGTTTTGCAAAAAGCCGATTTTTCACCTGTTTTTAGTTGAATTTTTCTGGAAGTTTGGGGTCAGTTACATTATTCTAGGGGTTTATCGATCGGTCATTATGGATCGTTTGAAACTTGATCCTTTTTCGCTAACCTGATCGGGCAGGGTTGAGAATTTGTCATATAAAAAATGGTTCCTTGTTAAAAGCTGCCTTAAGCAGTGCTTCTTATTTTCAACCAGAAAAAGGGGGTGTGTTAGAATAATATGGGCTATTTTTTTACTCTGAGGGCATTCCCAAGTCTAAGCGGTTTTGTCAGTGGAAAAAGCTGGTATTGTTTTGTGACATCGCATTAGTGAAGGAAATTTAAGTGCTTAAGGTTACTAGAATGGTTAATTCTTTTAGGGGGTAATAAGTTATGAAAAATACTAGGCCGGGGCAGTATGATGAGCATTTTACTGAGTACTGAAGTTTGTTGTAGTGAATTGATATGTTCAAAGATTTTTCTAGTGTAAGTACGGCCAGTCCAGTTTCCGGATCTTTAAAAGATCATCTATTGTTGTGTAATGGACGTATTAATTAGTTCTTCGCAACTGAGGGATAGAAATAGGGAATACTTGTTGTTTACGGAGTCTTTAGTATCTGATGGTTTAGAGGTCTATTCTTGAGGTGTCCGTTAACGACATTTGAAAATATAAAAATTTGACGTAAACGTTGTTCAGAAATTTAGATGAAGTGGTAGAGGTAGGAGTCTTCGTCTAGTAATCAGTCCCCTTTGTGTTCACTAAGACCACTCGTTTGGGTTATTTTTGACTAATTGTGTGTCAGAAGCGCAAAGTAACTAAACGCAAGTAGTTGTGGACGGCTGTTTTTCACGATAAGTCTGCGATTTTTTCAAGAAATCTTAAGTGGGTTGCCTTTAAGGCTGGTATGAGTAAGAACTTGAAGAGAGAATCCGTAGTGGGTATGGTACTTTAACTTGGGAGTTTAGAATAAAAAAACAGTAATAATAGTTCCCAATGTTACTTTTATCATGTTGACTTTTCGTTCTTGGAATCATATTAGAAAGAAAAAAGAAATCCTTTAGCGAATGACCTACTGAGAACCAGTCGTATAGATAAAGACTGCTAGTTTTTTCTCTGAATCAAAGAATAGACGCAGTTTAATTGTTTCTGGACAGATGGTATCTGTTTGTGAAG